CGCGCTCAGCGGGCCACGGTAAAATTATCAAAGGCTGACTGGTCCGCGGCGATAAAAAGGTTGGGGACCACTGCTGTAGAGGGTACTTTTTAAGAGGCTTTTTTAAACAGTTAAGCACTAAGCAGAGTCATCCACAGTGACTCTGGCAGAAACTAGCTCAGCCTGACCTCAGATCTTGCCTTTTTCCTTTTACATTTTTTTTTCTTTTCATGATGACAGTGGTGAGACCCTGCCTCCCCTGCCTGCACATCCCTGGTGCATGGAGTTCATTCTATTAACTACTATAACTGTGCAGATCACTTTAAAACCATGGAGAAATGGGGGGGGGAACGGACACACAAAGGGATGGAGGGCACCTAAATAGCCTGTTGAAGTTAGCAATTGTGGGGGGGAAAGTTTCACCCCAGTCTCAGAGGCTACAAAGAGCTGCAGATGGTGACCATGTGTCTGATCCCATTTATATATCTTCTCATGTCTCCCTGACCCCATTTACTATCTTCTCACCCTGCCCCTTATTGTTGTACCTGAGCCAACATGCATTCACAGCTGAAGTTGGGCTGGGAGGATCAAGGCTTAGGACCCCCCCCCCCCTGCCTTGAACTTCACTACGTTATTTTGAGTCATTGTCAATCCAACCCACCCCCACAATTACTGCTTTGAAGAAAAGATGAGGCAAGATCGTGGTCAGCACCATCTTAAGCTCCTAAAAGAAATACCTATAAGCACTCACAACTTTGGGAAAAATAAGCAATGCCTTAGAAAAGAAAAGGAAAAGGGAAGAAAAAGACCCAAAGCAGCAAGCTTCGCCCATAAATATATCAATATTGTAGTAAAATACGCAAATTTGGTAAAATAACAAAACCAGACAATGGTACTTGTAAAGTTTTTAATTACAAAAAAAAAAGTCAACAAGTCTGTTCATGTAAGAGAGCACAAAAGCAATTTCGAGTTGTTAAGTTTCTCGATTGCAGAAAAAGGCATGGAGTTTTGTTGTGAGGATGAACAACAGAGAAAGCTGCACTTGTTTGCAAATAAGGAGCACTGTTGGCTTTGTGAAGGCTATTCATGCATCGGCTCTATTTGGTTCATAGCAGTGTGTTGCCTGGCACTTTTATGGACAATTTCCTTATGGCTGCATGCAGTGGACCCACCTCCACAATTAATATGTTGCAGCACAGAATTGTCAGCTGCGTAACACTTCAAACAAAGACAGCTTTCCTCTGACTTTTTTTTTTAAAAAAAAGATTCCGCATACTAATCTCAAAGAGTAGGCAGCTTTCTTTCCTGTTCCATATTCATTGCTTCAATTACAAACAATCCTTTTTTATGCATTATGTATAAAAAGCCAATTATTTAGCATGCAATCATCTATTTGGTTATGACAAGAGACAGATGTTGATGTGCTTTTTCACTGAACCGCATTCAGATTTTCTTTTGCTTTCAGTCTTGGTACAAAACATGTAATCTGCCCCCCACTCCACAGTCCTCCCTGCAAACCACCCCAATAATACTGCCTAGTGTTCCTTTGCAGACAATAGATGGCCAGATCAATTTTCTTTTAAATCAGATTTGGAATTCCAGTAACCTGTGATGTGGGCAGCAGTAAATATTATTAGTGAGATATTATCTTCCTACATTTTTTTTAATGGAAGGCTTTTTTGTGAAAGGGTAAAAAAAATAGATCCTTTAATTTTTGCTTGTTTTACTTATTCCTCTGGCAAACTAACCCAATTTTAAATTTTTTTTTGAAAAAACAGCTTTATAAGGCATTATCCCTTCCGTGTGTCTCTTCTTTTTTTTACTCTTCAGAAAGGCTGTGTTGAGAAGCAGAGTCTTCTAGAGCCATGTCTTCTTGGCTGGCCCTTCTGCATTCCACCATATGGCTTATCAGGAAAGCGTGAGTGGTTCCTCGATCCCTTTGCTGTCTGGATTCAGCAGCATCAGTTGCTTCGTAATCATCAGACAATTGCTTTTGGAAAATAGAGACAGTGTCATTAATGGTCCAACAGCACCATTCAAAGAAACATTGCTATAAAGCAGGGGTGTCAAACTCGCATTGTCACAGCAGCATCATGTGACATAGCAGGACTTTTTCCCCTTCTCTAAACTGGGCCGGGGCGGAGCTAGCATGTGACGCATCCAGCCCGCAGACCGCAAGTTTGACACCTCGGCCATAAAGGTTTGGTATTTGGAAGCCATGTTGTTTAACCTTGTACATGGTCACCAGATATTTTCACCTTGATTCCTCAGGTTTCATAATAATCTGTAGCATCTAATATAATGGAAGGAATTACAGTAAGACCCCAAAACAACCAGGGTCCTTGCAAAAACAGTTCAGGGATTTACTAAATATTATTCGGTTCCAGATTTGGAATAATGAACAAAGCCGATCTAAGATTTAGTAGCAGCAGGGGTGTTTGTGATGTAGCTATAGCTGATACAACTTTTGTGGAGCATGAGAAGTGGCAATGTTGACAATGCTTACTCAAATAACTTAAACACAAATTTGATCAGTGGCTGTCTAACCCACCTTTCTTCTTAGATTCTTTCATATTATAATTTTAATATAATTATATATGCCTTAGAAACAAGAATTTGTAGTAGTTACACATGACTCAGAAGCCATAAATAACCAATCCCTATGGCAGAACAAAGCACTAATTGATTAATTGCCATCCAGTTGGTTATAGATCTTAACAACTACATAGATAGGATTCCTCCAGGTCCGAATAAGACATACAGTTCATCTTTTTGGCTATATCTTACCCGTATGGCCTCCTTCTTGTTACGGTTTGCTGCTCTAGCGGATGGCCCAATTGCGATGTTAACACTACTAGATGATTGGGTATCTGTTGTGTTTCCTCCTTCAGCTGCAGAGAGCCCAGAAATGACCAGCGCACTTGAAAAACTTCTCTTACCAAACAAGAGGCTGAGAGTGGAGCTAGTGGAAGAGGCCAGGCTAGACCTGATCACAGCCCCAGCTCGCTCCTGCACCGTTAGTTGGCCCAAGATAGGGATGGCAGCAGTTGTGGAAAACACAGAAGTTGCAGAATTGTGGAAGGAGAGTTGGCTGTCAGAAAGTCTTGGGGAAATTTCATGAGCCGAAGTGGAAGTCTGGATGAAGTGGGGATGACTCTCTAAGATTGGACCAGAATGACTTGAGCGAGGGGGTCTTTGACTTAAAGCAGCATGAGTCTGAACAGACTGGCTCCTGAATTTTCTCCTGCCTTTTAAAAAAAAGAAATGAAGAGAGAAAATCATTTGCAGAAACTCTATCCCTAATCAAACCCTTCAAATCACATTCAATTAATGCCCAGTGCAAAACAGTACTCACATTTTTTTTTCACGGAGACTAGTTTAATAAATATGCTTAATCAAAAAATTTGAAAAAAAGTTTAATAGCAACAGCACTTAGACTTATATACCTTTCCTAGTGCTAGTTTCCTTTACAGCTCTCTCTAATCAGATTACAGGGTCAGCATATTGTCCCCAACAATCTGGTTCCTCATTTTACCAACCTCCGAAGTATGGAAGACTAAAAGAACCTTGACACAACCTGCAATACTGCATTTTAACCACTACCCCACCGTGGGCAGAATGCAGTATTAGCAATAGCAATAGCAGTTAGACTTATATGCCGCTTCATAGGGCTTTCAGCCCTCTCTAAGCGGTTTACAGAGTCAGCATATTGTCCTCACAGTCTGGGTCCTCATTTTACCCACCTCGGAAGGATGGAAGGCTGCGTCAACCCTGAGCAGGTGAGATTTGAACCGCTGAACTGCTAACAG